TGGAGGTGTCAGAGGGAAAGTTAGCGGTAGGTGAAGCTTCTGCTTTGTCCTTTCCTGTGGAGGCTCGACTAGATCCGGTGACAGCAATCAAGTTAAAAGAACTTGACTTGGAGCTAAAAAGACAAGAACATAACATTAAAGTTGTACAACTCCGTACTGTCGAGGTAGAGGCGGATCGGGATATTAAGCTTAAAACGCTTGAAATAGAAGCTGCGGCTTTACGCAGGAAGCCTCCTGTTCCACTCCCACGCTTGAGGGCTCCTTCCTCACCAACGTTTGATGGTGTACAGTCACAATCCAGCACCGTTAGCTATGACCCAGTAAGCAATACCCAGCCGAACTTTGATGTTGTGAGGTACGTAAAACTAGTACCACCTTTCAGAGAAGCTGAGGTAGATTGTTACTTCATTGCTTTTGAGCGCATTGCTGCTAAATTGGGTTGGCCGAAGGATATGTGGGGACTCCTCTTACAGTGTAATTTTGTAGGTAAAGCACAGGAGGTCTGTTCTTCACTTCCAATTGAGCAGTCTCTTGATTATGAGGTTGTAAAAGGGGCAGTATTGAGAGCGTATGAATTGGTTCCTGAAGCCTACCGTCAGCGCTTTCGAAACTTAATGAAAACCGCCAAACAAACATATGTAGAGTTTGCACGAGAGAAGAAATCACTCTTTGAGAAGTGGTGCCTCTCAAACAAGGTCACCAGTTTAGAGCAGTTGCAGGAGCTTATCTTATTGGAAGAGTTCAAAAATTGTGCTCCTGAACCTGTAGTTGTCCATTTGAATGAACAAAAGGTAAGCACCCTCTCTGAAGCTGCTGTGATAGCAGTATTCCCGTCTTCACGTCAGTCCAAATGGCAATTTTTTAATACTGAGCAAGCAGAGAGGGAATCTTCCAGGGTTCCAAGGGAAATAGTAAATAAGGGTCGTAAGGCTGATGCAAAAGGCACCAGTAACAAGCGTGTTTGTTTCTACTGTTTGGATCCAGGCCACATCATTTCTGATTGTAGGGCGTGGAAACAGAAGAATGCTGCTGGGAAGCCTAAGAGTGTAGCTTTTGTTCAAGCTGTCTCAATCCCTAGAAACTGTTCCATGCTAGCTAAGAGGACTGGGTATGAACCTTTTCTCTCTACTGGTTCTGTTTCCCTTTGTGCCGACTCTCTGGGTAAGTTTATCTCAATTCTGAGGGACACGGGAGCAACACAGTCTTTTATTTTAGCAGATGCCTTGCCATTCTCGGCCGAAACGTACTCTGGGACTGATGTGTTGGTCCGTGGAATTGAGTTAGGATGTGTGAGGGTGCCAGTGCATGTGGTTCATATTAAGTCTGATCTGGTTACAGGTATGGTTCCTCTTGGGGTGCGAACTGAGCTGCCTGTGGATGGGGTAAGCCTCATCCTGGGGAATGACTTGGCAGGTGGCAAGGTCTTTCCCTCTCCAGTTGTAGTAGATACACCAGATTTATCTTCTGACTTTGTCGCTGCTGGTTTCCCTTCTGTATTTCCTGCTTGCGCAGTAACCCGTGCACAAACACGGAAGTGGGAAGAAACTGTGAATCTTGCTGATTCATTCCTGAATTCAGCAAAAGATTCTGTGGAGGGTACTCTTGGTATTAAACCTCAGTTAGCTCCTAGTGATTCCGCGAACTCCGACTTAAAAGCAGCAGTTCTGAAATTGGACAGAGAACACTTAATTGCTGCCCAAAGGTCGGACCAATCTCTAGCACCCTGTGTTGAAGCTGCTGTTCAGTTAGGTAATTCGAGCAGTGCTAGAATCGCTTATATTTGGGAAGATGATGTCCTAATGCGTCGATGGAAACCTCATGATGTGGATGATGCTTTAGCGGTCTATCAAGTTGTTTTACCCTCTGCTTATCGTTCTCAGGTATTGCAGCTTGCCCATGAGCATCCTCTCTCCGGCCATCTTGGGGTTAACAAAACTTACAAACGCATTTCCCGATACTTCTTTTGGCCCGGATTGAAGTCCAGCGTTTCCCAATTCTGCAAGAGTTGCCATGTGTGCCAACTCGCAGGTAAGCCCAATCAAACCATACCCCCAGCTCCCCTCCATCCAATTCCAGTGATAGGAGAACCATTTGAACGTCTGATTTTGGATTGTGTTGGGCCGCTACCAAAATCAAAATCGGGACACCAATATATTCTGACTCTGATGTGTGTGGCAACTAGGTTCCCAGAAGCGTTTCCGCTCCGAACTCTTAAGGCTCAGGCAGTAGTGAAGGAGATGGTTAAATTCTGCTCAACGTTTGGGTTACCCAAGTTTATCCAAACTGATCGAGGTACTAACTTCACTTCCAAAGTGTTCGCTCAAGTGGTAAAAGAGTTAGGAGTTGATCATCAACTATCCAGCGCATACCATCCAGAGTCCCAGGGTGCGCTGGAACGCTTTCACCAAACCCTAAAGTCGATGCTACGTGCATATTGTCTAAGTACTGGTAGAGACTGGGTTGAGGGTTTGCCACTATTAATGTTTGCCGTTAGAGAGACTGTGCAGGAATCCTTGGGTTTCAGCCCTGCTGAACTTGTTTTTGGGCACACGGTTCGTGGGCCTTTGAAACTGCTGTGTGAGCAGTTATTGTCGAAAGACCCGGCGTCTAGTAATGTATTGGACTATGTATGTACCTTCCGTGAACGACTCCATAAGGCTTGTGAAGTAGCAAAAGCTCATCTTGTCACCGTGCAATCAAAGATGAAATTGCGTTTTGACAAGACGTGTAAAACGCAGCTTCCAACCTGGCGAATTGGTTTTAGTTTTGCTTCCTGTTCCAGGGACAGCGCTGCAGGCTAAATTCATGGGTCCTTACGCTGTTGAGAAAAGGCTGACTGACACTGATTACGTAATCTCAACTCCAGATCGCAGGAGAGGAAGTCGAGTGTGTCATGTGAACATGTTGAAGGCTTATGTCACGAACAAAACCGCAAAAGAAACCCGTGTTTCTGATGTTGTGTCTACGGTTACTGTTACAGTACTGTCTACTGCATATTGTCCTGTGGAAGATGATCTGGTCGAAAGTGAAGACCGAATGTCCTGTTCGCGTTTAAACAACTCTGCAGTACTAAGTAACTTAGACTCCTATCTTGCTCACCTGCCTCAGAACCAACGTACAGATATAATTGAATTGATAGGCGAGTATTCCACCTTGTTCTCTGATGTTCCTCGCCAAACTACCATCCTCACACACGACATTGATGTAGGTGACTCGGTACCTATTAAACAGCATCCTTACCGTGTCAATCCACATAAACGAGAAGTAATGAAATCAGAGGTTGAATATTTGTTGCAACATGGTTTTGCTACACCCAGCCAGAGCCCCTGGAGTTCACCATGCCTGCTTGTTCCTAAATCGGACTCGTCATATCGTTTTTGCACTGACTACCGGAAAGTAAATAACATAACCAAGCCCGACTCTTTTCCTCTTCCACGAATAGAGGACTGTGTCGACCGAGTTGGTTCTGCCCGTTACGTCACCAAATTGGATCTGCTAAAAGGATACTGGCAGGTGCCCCTCACACCTCGAGCCTCAGAAATCTCTGCTTTTGTTACACCTGACAACTTCCTACAATATTCTGTTATGGCATTCGGGATGCGAAATGCGCCGGCGACCTTCCAACGCCTAATGCGGCAGGTATTGTCGGGGGTGACTAACTGTGAGGCTTACTTGGATGACGTGGTGATCTATTCAGCTAATTGGGACGACCATCTGAATAGTCTTAACCAAGTTTTTAGTAGATTATCTGAGGCATCATTAACCTTAAACCTGGTGAAGTGTGAGTTTGCGAAGGCTGTAGTTACCTATCTTGGTAAGAAGGTGGGCCAGGGAACAGTAAGGCCTGTTGAAGGGAAAGTTACTGCCATACTGGATTTTCCCCCTCCTACGAATAAAAGAGAACTGAGGAGATTCCTGGGCATGGCTGGTTACTACAGAAGTTTCTGTAGAAATTTTGCGTCTGTGGTTTCCCCGTTGACAGACCTCCTCAGCACCTCCCGGAAATTTGTGTGGAATCACGATTGTAACCATGCATTTAATGCTGCAAAAGACCTGTTGTGCCATTCCCCTGTCCTTTCTGCCCCAAATTTTGCTCTGGCCTTTAAGTTGCAGGTAGATGCAAGTTCTGCAGGAGCAGGTGCTGTTTTACTGCAAGAAGACTCCGCTGGCGTAGAGCATCCTGTGAGTTACTTCGTACATTCTGTTGTTGATTTTCTTTTTCTTTGAGAGATTTAGTAAGGACTTAAACTCCCTAGTTAGACTGAACTTTTGTTTGTTGTTTTGGCCTTGTCCCCTCCTGAAGCCTCCGTTCCCCTCCTAATTTATACTTCCTGTTCAAAAGAAACCTGGCTATACTTTACTAGCCTGTAATAAATTTGTTAAAAATATCTTGTTGTTGTTGTGGTGCTGTGGCAGGGCCCAGACAAAGACTCTTCAACCATTCAATATTGTTATGTTCTGGAAAAAACCACCCCTAGACCCTCATAGGACGTAACACTACTCACTCACTTTAAATATTTCAATAATTTAAGTAATTGAAAATAAAATATAATTATTATTATTATTATTAATGCTACAATTATTGCATATAGCATTCAAATATTTTTTTTGAATTAGTCTATTAATCTACATTTACAATGAAAGACATAATTCGGAGATTTAATTTGAAATGATTTGTCCTATCTGTTGCTACAGCTATCGCTGTCAATCATCACAATTTTGACAATTCAGCAGCAAGAAAAACAAATCTTTTAGTCAGTTTGTGAATGGGACATATACAGAAAGTGAGCAAAGGATGGTCTCTTTATAATCATTGAAGCTTTCCGATGTCAATCTGTACTAGTGGAAGAAAAGAGTGCAGGAATCTTTCCATCTTGTATTGTTCCATTTTCGTGTTTTAAGTTCAGTATTGGCTTGGTATCGAAGTATAGATACTTCTGACTTCTGACAACACTATCACATTTATCATAAAAATAGTATGTAAATATAAACAAATTTACTCACAGAGCTTTACTGCAGTTGCTCACAGCTAGTATCAGTCTTCTTCTACCCTCATCTGATGTGTTGTATTTCTTGAGGTCCAGCTCATCCAGCGGCTCTTCTGATATCTGAAGCATGTAGGAGATTGTTGAGCAGTAAGCAGGAGAAAGTTTCTTCCCTGAGTGTTTGTCTGATTTCACAAACTCCTGAATCTCTCTGGACAGAGTCTGATCTTTCACTTCCAGCAGACAGAGGAACAGATTGATGGATCTTTCAGTGGAGAGTCCATGTCCATCTTTGATCTTCTCTTTAATGTACTGTGTGGTTCTCCTGATGCTCTCTGAGCTGTTCTCCTTGTGTGTCAGTAGATCCTGTAAGAGTCTCTGATTGGACTCCAGTGGGACGCCCAGCAGGAACCGCAGGAACAGATCCAGGTGGCCATTCTCACTCTCAAGAGCTTTATCTACTGCACCTTTAAGCAAATTTTGTACTGAAGCAAAATTCTTCAGTTCTTCCATAGTTGTATTCACATGGTAGTGGAACACGTGGAAAGCAGCGAGAAACTCCTGAACACTCAGATGAATAAAACTGTAGATTTTCTTTTGATTAATGACAGATTCCTCCTTAAAGATCTGAGTGCAAATCCCCGAAAACACTGAGTCTGTGACTTCTAAGCCTCTCTCAATCAGGTCCTCCTCATAGAACATCACATTGCCCTTCATCAGCTGTTTGAAAGCCACTTCAGCAAGTTTCACAATCACTTCTCTGTTGGACTGCAGGAGTTTCTCTGGATCTCTCTCTTCATAC